TTGGCATCCTGGTCATCGCCTCCATGTTTGCAGGTTCTACCAATTCTAGTCGTAAACACCACTGGACAAGCAAGAAGCCAGTGCAATGCAGCTGATGCTGGCTAATGTGGTTACCTTGCATAGCACCTCGCTGCAGGAGAATATATGCAAGACGCCCCGGGACGTGCTGCGCGACGGTTACGAATACCTGGACTGCGACATTGAGGCTCCTGCCCTAGTTTTGAGGAAAGACATTCAGGGAGCCAAGAGCCTGCAGGAAACCACAATTTGTTCAAACATTTCAATTAAAACAATTTGGGTAGGACGAGGTTTCATGATGACCGCCCACTCCCGCTTCGCCGTCGGTTTGCTTGGCAGGCGCACCTGTCGCACTTTGCCTTGGCCGATTTAGTGGACCGAGGCTGGAGCAGAGGGCTTTTTTCACGTAGTTCTGGGTTCAGTGTTCCATGGAGCAGGATTTGAAATTGGAGCTTTCTCGAAGGCATGGGCTGCCTAGCAAGGTCTTTTTCGTGAAGCCCTTCACACCTGTCTTTTCGCTGGGCTTGATGCGCGTTCGGTCCACTGTTTTTGATTAGTAGGAGCAAGGTGGCCAGAAGCAGCAGTAGCAGTAGGGGCAGTGCTGGCATCGGGAAATCAGGAGGAAGAGACAGAGCATGGGCAAACTTGAGATTTGACCGCTGGAGATTCTGAGATCTCCATGACTGGAAAAGCCACGATAACCGTGAGAGTAATGACGGTATCTCCAGAGTGCTGCAGCCTTGAGCGGAGCATTCGGCCTGAGGCCTATCAGAGCTCACTCGATGCCAGAAGGTGCTTCTGACATTTGCTGCTTAGCTCTACGGTGACAAGGGACTTACAGACCTTAGGGTCAGTATTCCTGAGGTATACGAAAGTTTCGTTCTGCGTTCTGATCCGTATGAATACATGCAAGAAACATGCCTCAGGCAAGCGGAGGAGGCTGAGACACCAGGTGTGCTGTTAAAAAAGACCTGGCTTTTCGAACTCTAAGCCTCCAACCCCAGTCTGCCACCTAGGCCAAGGCATTTTGGCCCAGGGCACCGCATGTACTCTTCGTGTTCCCTGGCTTACGTACTGGATGTCACACACAGAGCGCAGAAGTTGAGCACCTCACCTTCAGCCTGCAGACGAAATTGGGACCCGGTGCATTCACATTGGCTGTCATGACCTGTCATGCATTAGTTGCATCATCCAAGGTTTGTCATCATGAGTATTTGGGGGTCATTACTCTCTGCCGTTCTTCAGGGAAAAAAAGAGAATTCAACAAGAAAACTCCTAGCCAGGCGAGCGTTTACAGATCTTTCATGGTCCTCTTGCAATGAAGCCCTATACAGCGTGATGAGCGGTTGCATGGAGAATTCGCAGCATAGATAGCCGAAACCAGCTAGGTTATGCATCTCAGTTTTGTCACGGCATGTCTGTGGGGTCCTGCATTATACATCAATGATGTATCCAAGCACATGCCAGGTTTTTGCTCGAGGCCCTTGTGCTAGTATCTTCAACAGAGCCATCTTTTCTTGAGTGTCTCTAAGACCTTGTGTCCTACAATCCCCCAGCGACTTCTAGACCGGGGCTCGTTTTCCATGCAGTGCTGAGGTACGAGCCAGGTGCGCTTGGCGCGGAAGGCGATTGCCCTTGTTAAGGCTACAGGTCCACGAAGAGTACTGCAAACAAGGGTTGCTTGAAGAGAAGAGGGTTGCAATCAGGATTTGCACCTGGCAGGTTCGCCTGAGCATATATAAGCGAGAGAGGTAGATTGGTCTTGTTACCTGGAGCTATGAGACTCATGCAGAGCTGGATGTATGGCCCCAGCAAGCTGGCACCAGGCACCGCCCTAAGCGCGCGGCTTGGTCGCAACTGGTAGAGTTTGGAACTGAGAGTTCAGCAAGTGACAGTACTCTGGTGCATACTGGCTGCAGATCTATTTTGCAGAGAGCAGCAACATTTCCAGCATTTGTGCAAGTACTGATATTTCATCAGTTCTCAATTTGGATTTAATGATAAGAGTAGTCGTCATTGTAGCAGCAATTATGAGAATAATCTCGGGGATGCGAGTTGTCGCAGCTGTGTCTGCGACAGCAGAATTCTCAGATTTTGTTGCACGTTGCTATTCTGTCTCTGAAGTCTGTCAATGAAGCTGCCCCTCGTCTGGCTTGAATTCCCTGCATTCTTTGCACCCTCAAAGCCTCATGTGACACCTAGCAGCCATGTTGACAAGTACATGGTGGTTGGATGGGGTTGTGTCTGTGTGCGTCGAAAGATGATGAGTATCATTTCGGTGTAGCTGTTGGGATGAAAACGTGGGCAAGACCAGGACAAAGAGACAGAGAACACAACAGCATGAGCTGGAAATGTATGAGCAAGCTCCGAGCTGCAGAAGCCACGAAGAGCACACACACCAAAGAACAAATAAACGTGATAGCCAAGGCAATGCTGCGGTTGTTTCAACTGGCAAAACTACTAGTCATGTCGAAAGTGCTGATGTGACATGAAGTCGCTGTCTACGCAAACTCCCAGGTGATGTGTCTTTTTGAAAAGTAGTGGAGGCTAATGCGCGCGCTTGGCAGCTGGTCCGGGGGCGTTCTCGTCGCGGGGCCGGACGCAGCGCTGCGGGAGGATCTTCGGCTTGGGTGAGAACAATGCATGAACTACGTGTGTACATCGGCTTTTGGGGTGAATGGTTTAGGACAGGCGCAGGTGCTGTTGGTCCTTGGAGGGGGTTTGAGAGTCTTTAATCTTGAGGTTGTGGAAGGAGTGTGCGTGTAGGGCAGCTTCTGGCAAGTTTGGGAGTTGTGTGGCTTCTGCGTTTGCCTGGAACCTGTAGAGCTGTGCGTCTGCCTGGAACCTGTAGAGCTGTGTTTTTTGTGGAAACTTTTCCCGGAACGCCATCCCACTGAGCCAGCATCTTTTAAATGCAAGTCGGGTTGAATCCAAGGCGCTCTTCAGGGCCTGCCTGTTCAGCACTCTTGTCTAAAGGACTTCTGCAGCCCTTAGGGATAGACGAGCATGGCTCCATGCCTTTGATGATCCAGTGGCAACTCGAACGGTCCCAGAATATCCTGCATTTCCCAAGACTCCTGGAAGTTCTAAGGTGGAGACGTGGGAGCGATGGTCTGTTAACGCCTAGTCCAACCGAAGCCGGCGGCGGGCGATCGTTAAGAAAGAAAGTGTCTGCGTCAAGACCATGATGCTAGGGCTAGCTGCTAAGCAAGGCACTCGTCAAATTGTAGGTTTGATTTCTCATACCAACCACGTATCCTTGCAGAAGTTTTCCTAAGGGCGGCCCTGCTGCTTGACACAGACTCATTGTACGGGCGGCCAGGTCCTCCTTGGGGCCTGCTGCTGAAAAAGGCAAGTAGGTTTGCGCCTTGCTTGGCTGCCAAAAGCCGTGTAGGATATTCTCAGGCAAAGATAAATGAGAGCTAAGCTCAGCGGAGAAGAAATGTTGGCAAGCGGACCTGGCTGCTTTGCTTTTGCAGATCGGGGGCCTGCGAGATGTACATTCCTTTGGAACAACCTCACTAAGGGTTCCACTACATTTCGGACCTACTTTCGTGATAGGCCGCATGCCCCCTGGCATTCCAAGCCCACATGACGTTGAGCTGCAAGCGCTGCAGCCTTCTTTTCCGTGTGGCCGTAGCTCGCGCAGGCAAGGCAAAGTGAGTCTTGTGTTGCCAGGGTGGGCGGTCTAACTTCGCAGCGACCAGGCATGTAGGCCCCTCGGGCTAGCCCGCAACTGAGTGCAGTGCAGGCTTGCTGGATATCCTCACCCCGGCTCTGCGAGCGCTGATGTTTCGCTGGGAAGACACCCCCACCCTGGTCAGAGCGCTGCAGCCATTTACCAGATGGTGAGGTGGCTTTTCTGCGGTGGTGTCTGAGCCCTGTGAACGGCCAGTCATCTGCCAATCCGGTAAAGGGCTAAGGCTGGTGATTAAATCACCTTGCCATTTTCAAAATTTTCCCTCTGGGGGCCGCCATTTCCTCCGGGCAGCCTCTTCGTGCGCTTCACTTTGCTTCATGGTGTGCCGAAGGTCTGCAAGAAATTTGTTGTTGATCCCGGCACGCCGTGGCACAGCCTTTGAGCAGATCAGGTCATGGCAGCTTTCCTTCGTGTGGCGAAACTTAACAAAGAAGATCTATGCTAACCAGGAGACTTGGGAACAACAAAAGGCCAAGGAAACGTTCAATTGTTATCGAAAGAGGCAGAAGGGTAGTGGCGGCGGGTGGTGGTGGTGTTGGTGGTGGTGGTGGTGGCGGCGGTGGCGGTGGTGGTGGTGGTGGCGGTGGTGGTGATGGCCCTGGTGGTGGTGGTGGTGGTGGTGGCGGCGGCGGCGGCGGCGGTGGTGGTTCGAGTGGAAAGAGTCTCTCACAACCATGGAAAAGCATCAATGATGGCAAGCTGCTGTTGGCCGGTGCAACAGTGCTTTGAACAAGAGCTACTTGGTATGCACCAGGCAACCGACTGACCTGAAACTTGCGTGGGTCGTGAGTTGGGCGTTTGCGCCGCCCCTGCGGCCACGAGCAGAGAAGATCTCGCCATGATTTCCCAACTACTATCGCAATGGCTGAAACTCACTGCCCTGCAGAGTCTCTCACCTGCTTTGGAGGTGGGGCACGCGCTCCAGGCGTTGCAGCATCCGCAAAAAGGTTGTTAGTTTTGGGATGGCTTTTGGATTCATGCTTTGGTGCAACTGATCTCCGTAGTTCCTCGGCACTTGAAACAGCCTTTTCTGCAAGATGTTTGTACCAGTGCGATGACAAGTAGAAACCGACCAGTTGTTGCGTGTACCTGCATGAGATGAGCTAGATCTGCCCATGATGCCGGTGTCACTTGGTCAGTCAGGTAGGCGGTAGAACAAGATCCTAGCAGATATGCCTTTTTACATCTTTTTACTGGCTGCTTTCGGTACCCCTACACCCTTAACTTTTTTGAACATCTGCAAGCCCGACAGCGGTCCTCCAGCATCGCTGCGGCTCCAGCCATGACCGTCAGTGTGCTGCCTGCAGGGTCGCCCGAGGATGACCCCTCCTCTCCAGTTGTTCGAGCCCTGTCTACGATTCTGTGGTTTGCAGCCTTCAAGGCAAAAAGGGGTTGCAGGTTGCATTTTCAGACGTTTTGAATCCAGCATGGGCATGGTGAAGTATAGCGGGATGTTGCCAAGGAACGCGAGAACCTCTGTGGCGGGTTCGGCACCTGCGGCCGCTGCGACCTCTTTCGCAGTTCTGCAGACCACCCCCGGTCACCGTGAAATCCTCGGAGGCACTGCCCCTGCGGCATCTGCGGCATGAGGGCAGCCGGGGCAGCCAGTATTTGGCATTTGGGGATGCCCTGCGGTTGATGCTGCCTCCGTTGGAGGACGGCTGCCTCGCAGCGGCGCTCTGCGCTTGCGTCCGCCCAAAGATGGCGGGCGATGTTGGGCCGCGGGAGATTATCCCCACAGATGCAGAGCGCGAAGAGCTGCGGCTCGCGGAGGACTTGGCTGCATCCGGCCGCAGAGCAAAAGACTTCGTGGCAGTGACGGCAGCCAGGGTTTCAGATCCCGAGGCTGTGGTGCGTCGCAGCGCCTGGCGAGTGTTTCGATGTAGTGAGCTGGATGGCTTTCCTGCCTCAACACGTGTGCACTACGGCCAGCACCTGCAGTTTGGGTTGCCGTCCGTTGATGATGCCAGCTCCGAGATCTTGCTTAGCTGTGAGCCCCCGAGCAGGAGCGGTGGCATTGGGGCTCCGTACCTGATCCTCGGCCGCTTTGTGGATTTTGGCTACGTTTGTCATGGCCGAAGGAGTTGGAACACAGCCTTCACCCTGGTGCCAACGCTATCTTCAGCTGGAGCGTACGGAGATCCGGTTGACCTGCGATGTGGTATGCGCATCGTACCTATTGCGCCCTTCTCCTACTTGCATGGCCCGCGGCTCATGCAGGCCTGTGGAGCGTTCGGATATGAGAAGGTTCATCAAAGCACTGTTATTTGTCACCCCTTTCCTTTGCGGAAGTTTTGTGCCCAGCTTGAAAACTCCAGCATGCTGCAGTACATGATTCTGCCCAAGAACTTGGGTCTCCTGAACCTATGTTCACAAGGATATGTAGTCTCAAAGGCAAATCTTGCCCTCCGCTAGGCCCTGTCTCAAGGCCTTGATGATGAGTGATATTAAGATTGCTTCAGTCACAGTCTACACGTTGGACTCCGTTCTTTTTTCAGTGGACGTAGAATTGCCCTGAAGAGAAATCTTGATTTTTGCGGACGAACCGCATGATTTGCACTACAAATCCAGCCAGGCAGTCTTCGGCGGGCTCAGCAACCCAGTCGGGCGCGGATGCGTTGCTCGTTGCGCTGCCGCCGCCTGCCTGGCTTGTGGTAGGTGTGCTGCACTGTTTATCCTGGGAAAGTCAAGGAGTGGCAGTTATGACCGCATATAGAAGTGGAGTGTGGGGGGAGGTTATTTCGCCTACAGTGACACTTTGTACGACGGCGGTTTTTGCCACTGTGTGTGCTTCTGCTGCCATGCTCCTGCGGGCGTAGAACGACATCCGTGAGCCTAGTATTGGGAGATAAGGGGTGAATCTCGCGGGGAAACAACACTGGAAAGGTCAGGGCCGCTTGTTTCACTATCCTCCAAAGTTAGTTTCTTCTTGTACAATGTCAACACTTCCGACGTCCGAGTGTGTTCCCTTTGCGGGTATAAGCAAGTTGACCCGAAATCCATTTCGCACGTAGATGGGTCCCAAGCTAACGCTCCAGCTTCAGAATGGATGGTCGCCCTCAAAAGAAGGGCGGTTCCCAGTGGACAGAGTTGTGCAAGCATCAGCTGCCTTCAAAGGCTTTCAATAAAGTATTTGCTGGAACCTGCTGCCTGTATGGCTGTTGGATATGTATGAAGAAAAGTCTCAATGGGGCCTGCTACGATGATGGCTACTGCCAGTATGACGATCACCACCACCACCACCACCACCACCACCACCACGACTACTACTACTCCTCCTACTCCTCCTCCTCCTCCTCCTACTACTACTACTACTACTACTGCTACCACTAGTAGCGCTACTAGTATTACTAGTACTACCGCTATTACTACTATTATCATTACTACTACTGGTACTTTTGCTATTATTACTATTACTATTACGATTACTATTACTATTAATATGATTATTACCATTACTATGACGACGACGACTACTACTACAATAACGACTATTACGCCTAGTGCCACTACAAGATTTGATAACGCACGTCATGCTACAGGGAAATGGTTGAGCCCCGGTGCAACACAAGAGTGGACGCTACGAACAACTACATGAGGAATAATCCCTGGAATGGTGATACAAAGAATGTCGGTACGGTAGTGCCATTTCGACTTCCATTTTTGGCAACAAAAAGGCTCCTGATAAGGAGCACCCGCAGGGCTCTCCAAATGTTTGACAGTTATGGCTTGGGTGTGAAAACGCCACATTAGCCAGTGCTGCAGTGGTGTTCGGGGACCTCAGTTGGACCTGAGGCTGAGATTGCTTTGGCCACAGGGAGCTTGGAAGTGTGGAACCCTTCAAGCATAGCCTCAGTTCACCTCTTGACCTCAAGGACGTAAGTGCTCTGGCATCTGTAGCCGACGCACTCATTGATAACTGCAAGGCTGGGGAATCTCAAGCCGAAAGCCTAACAGCTGGCAGCCCAGGTTGGAAAGGACGGGAGAGAACTGCTCCTCCACGCGTCCTCCCCAGGAGGCCATGCGTCCGGATGACGTGGTTGGGGCCTGTTACCTTGGCATTAAAGCTGAACATGTAGCTTCCAGGAGTGGGAAGTGAATTTACCATTGCCATGCTTGATTTGCTGCGCGCCGACTCCATTCCGTCGCATCTTTTCTTGATGACTAAGGGATGGCCAGCACTGCTTGCGCACCAGTTGTGTGAAGCCTCCATGGGCACTTAGGGTGTGCAAAGCTTTGCTAGATGCTCAAGAGCAACCCTTCGCCACAGCTTCCTTGCAGGCGAGCCCCCGGACGTCGGCTGGGTGCTGGAGCGCTTGAGCTTGACGGAGGGGTCACCCCAGGCCGCAGCTACGACAGGTGCGGGCTGGGGTTGCAGTGGAAGATTTCAAGGAATCTCACAAGAAAAAATCAATAGAAGTAGATGTGCGGCTTGGAGATGTAGGCAATGGATAAAGCCTTCGAGGGATAATGCAGGACGACCATGGGCAAGGTGCACTCAAAATTATAGGCTTTTGTCGGGGGATCCTAGTGACTATAATATAGTAGGACTCTAACTTGGACAAAGCCTTGCAGCATTCTTACAGGAATCCTCGCTCGGGACATACATGGATGGAAGCTGTTCCTACATCTGTTTACAGGGTCGGATTTGAAGAATGATGGCCTCAGGTTCCAGAGCTGTTGCTAGTGTCTACTCCTAACCTCCTGCTGGCAGCAAACGTCTGAAGTTTCAAGAACCCTGGCAAATGTGTCTGCATCTGATCTTATAGTGAATACTAAAGGAGGTGGATAGTTTTTTTTGGGGCTGTGAGCATAGAGGCCAGAACAACCAGGATGTCTTTGTCAAAGCCTTGCGGGTTGCGATCCTGGCCAGGGCTTATCCAGCTGATTCCCGGTTTCCCCACTCGACCTGAAACCTCAGACCCGTCTGAGCAGGGCAGAACATCCACATTTCACCGCGCATGTCTCCAGCATTTAGATTGTGTACGAGTGGTTATTTTGGGGAATGTGAACGGCAGCTTTCATCCCAAACTGTGAAGTAGCACATGATGAAGACGGCTCTACATGAGAGTGAAGCATCTGTTTTTTGCACAGGGGTAGACACCACCTTCGCGCAGTGGCAGGCTTTGAGGCGGGGTGAACAACATTTTTGATTCTGCCATACCGATGTGGTGCATGACGCACGTTTTTTTTTTGAGACGTAGCCGCGCTGTGGTCATGAAGCCAACTGGTGGTTTCTTCGTTTGCAGAGGGCATTTAGCTCTGGGTGATGGAGTGCTTCTTCAGTTGTTGCAATTTGCGAAGCTTGACTGGCTTTCGGGGTTCTTGCAGAGCTGAGCTATCGCAAGCGCTACAGTGGCAGTCTTTTCCACCCCTTGCCTGAGCGAGAAAGCCGCAAATGGGCCCAAGCCTCAGCCACCCCAAATCCACATCTGGATTTGGAGAAGCCCATGTGCCATGAGAACCTTGTCGACAGCCTTCCTGCTGTAGTTCCAACAAAGCTGAATGATTCCCAAAACACTTAGCGGAACAGACTCAGCACCATAGATACTCCAGACACCAACCACGAAGACCAGCCCATTTGCAACCAAAAGAATGGTGGAGCTCCCTTGTTACTATGTGCATCTGCAGTGGGCTTCATTCTCATTCTTGGCCATGTTCATAGTTGAGTATATTTGGAACCCACAAAGAGGAAGCTTGTGGCATGTTCCTTGAGCCTGTCATAACACCAGCGCAGAAGCGTCGCAGACATCAACGGTTACTGATGGAAGAGATAGTACCTACAGCCATCATCATAAGCTGTTGTTGGAAGGCCAGGAACATGAGTGGTACACCAGGCATGACTTCCTAGGCAAACATGAGCCGCGCCCGTAAGTGCTAATAAGAGCTCATGTCGGAGCAGCCCTGCAAGCCTTAAATAGAGCAACAACTGTTTAAAGCCCTCGAAGTCAAAAAGCCGCCTGCAGCAAACCGTTCCTGCAGGGCTGCGATCCTAAAGCGCATCCGGCGACGTGGGGAGGCCACACCGGGAGGAGCTCATGGGTTACTGAGGAGGTCCTCGTTGCGGAATTGGGTTGGGTCAACTCTCATTATGGGTCTATCTGTCGCCGGCTGGGAAGCAGACAGCATCAGGCACTCACTCCTTTTGGGAGTACCCCAGTTCTGGCCTGTCGACCGCTGCAGAGTTGAATCATGTCAAAGACAAACTTTCTAGCTCTGGATCAGTATTGAGTAGCGTTTCATTGAACTCACATGGCCACAGGAGGAAATTTTTCCGATGTATGCACAGGCTTCAAAAAAGAGAATGAGGGCTGACATTGGCAGGCTCTGGCCTTCAGCATTTTCCGGAAGATCCTCTCCAAGGACTCCAGCCGGAGGGGATTGTGCAGTGTTGCGCAGGTGGATGCAGAAATTGATAAGAGCATGTCGACAAACCGGTCTGGTGAAAACACCCTAGCCTTTATGGACGTCTCGCGTCATCAGTCCTGCTGCTGCTGAGCACTACCGGCTCATGCCCAGGCCAAAGTCGCTGTGTAGGGACAGGGACACACGGCGGGAAAGCTGCTTGAGCTGAGCTAAGTGGGCCTCAAGCTTTCTCATTGGAAGTAGCCGCAAGTACATAATTATCGCTGTTGATAGAGGTACAGTGCCTTTTTCATGTTGTTCCTTCACCGGCTGAAAAGCTGGCCCGGTCTCAATTCCAGGGGGCTTTGCGCAGCAACCAGCAGGGCTCCTGAGTGTGAGGGTTCTCCCTTCTCTGCACGGCGAGGGGGGGTGTCACTGCGAGGGCGAAAACAGCGGACTGTACTTCTGTTTTCTCAGAAAGCTATTTTCATGTATCTTGCATTTTGTGCGTATTGTCATCTTCCTCAAGCCATCTGCTCAAGCTAGCTCATGCCTCGTAGTACTCTTGTGCTTCCCTGCTGCTGTCGCTGTCTAGCATGGTTGGCACGTTCTTAGCTTTAAGCCACGGGTGCTTTGTGTGTCATGTCTTTCATTGCCGAGCCGGGGTCTGTGGGGGGCTATCAGCCGATGTGTTTCTCCAAGCATTGTTGCTGAATTTCAGGCCAAAGAGATTCTTCTCCTCTCGCGGTGGGTCCCAGTATTGCCTCCACGCATCATGTTGGAAGTAGCTGCGATGTCTACAGTCGGAAGCTGATCCTAATGGCGCGCGAAAGCAACAAAGCATAACGATTGAATCGCATTGTTCTCGGTGCAAGTGGCTTTTTGCTTGTGGCAGGTGTCCCTGTAGTAAGAAGCGACGCTCGGAGCACTCTTCTTTGTGGCAGCTCCTACGACGTGCCCTCTTTTCTCGGCTTCCGAAAAGCACACTTCAGGAAGCTTGCAAAAGAGAAAACGATGCGCTTAGGATAGCTTCCTTTGTCTAGCAGGTTTCTCGGACGCTTAGCTCTCCGAAGATCAACGTGATCCCGGTAGCGACCTTTTTTAAATTGCAGGTGTAGAGGAGGACAACCCCTTACTGTCAGGCTTTTGCCCCACTTACGTCCCTTGGTCACCGCCTTCACGTGAAGTTTGGACAGCTATGAGACGGGCACGCGAGGTGGCGGCACCGGGCGTTGGGCCTGTATACGCTGCACGCCGCGGTTCACTGTGTGGGTGTCGGAATGTTGAAAGTAAGAGCCTTTGTGCTGCAATAGTTGCTGTTGAGCGCAGATGCGCAGCCAGGCTAAATCCATGCGGCCATGGGTCGAAAGTCCGCTTTGTCTGTTGTTTGTGCTTGCCCGGTTCTCTCTTTGTGAATTCCTACCTGCACGCGCCAGAAGATGAGTCCTCGGACCGCCGCGCATGGCCAGCAATTTCCTTCTTTAGGCAGTCCGCTGCAGTTCAAGCCAAATATTGTGCGCTTCTGTACAGATAGCAGCTCACAGTTTCTTTCTGCGAAAGGTCTAGTAATAGTACTTCGCCGTTTTAAACTTACCATGCGGTGCTTGCCAATCTGGCTGAACCCGAAGACTGTTGGTCCACGGTTCATTTGTATGTTTTGTCACCAATGCACGCAACCAACCATATCGTGGACCCGTGCAAGAGCTGCAAGGGTTGCAATGAATGAGGTTATGCTGTGTTTGTGAAAGATGAAACAAGCATTTTTGACATGTATCGACTACATGACTGCTGCGATTTTTGTGAGGACTGCTTAGTCTTGGATGGCCCGATCTCCACAAGCCATCTGCCCGCGGCGGATGGTGCTTGGGATTCTTGCCTGGCTGCATGCACACAAAGAGCATAAGGGACTGTGGTGACATGCGTCGCCGGGATTTTTCGTTGGTGATGATTTGCGAGTAATGCGTAATATTGCCGCATTTGGAAGATTGATTACACCATGTCTAGGATACCCAAGGGTGATTCTGCCGAGTATTCTTCGGACCATGATCATCCTCAGCGCAGGTGCTGTGGCCTTGGCCGAACGCACCTTGGTGGGCGAGTCCTGCGCGTGGGTCCTGGAACATTCAAACTTCCATGTTGAGTGATTGGGTGGTGGTTTGATTCGAGCAAAGGAATTCTTGGATTCTTGCCGTTCGCATAGAATGAGGAATCAGGGCAAGAGATTGGGAGGTGCACAGGCATTCAAAGAAAGCCTGTATGCAAAGTGGACTGTGTCTGTCCTTCAGGCAATAGACAAAAGTTTCCATCCGGCACACTGCTGCGAATGTTAATGTTATCGCTACCGCGCTCCGCCTCGGCCGGCTCGAGCAGCAGTCGGCGGCGGAGGAGGACAGACAGCATGCAGAAGCAGAGCAAGTCGTGAGAGTTCAGGAAAGAAAGGTCAAAGGAAGGAAGGCAAGAAGCTGGACAAGGGGAGAGGGGGGTGGCCAGGGGGGGCCAGGGGCCTCGGTGGATTATTGTGGCTACTTGTACCAGCACATGTCGGCAAACATGAAGGCCAGACTTCATAACCATGTTCAACGGAACACAACTTGTCATACGACGCAATGTCACGAGTCAAGTCGTCAACAGGTCTTGACAACTCTGCGTTGCGGCTACGGCGTGCAGCTGGGTGAAGCTGTGGGGCCCATAGCTTTTGGGAAGCTTTGGGGGCGCATGGCTTTGGGGGTTGTAATGCGCGTAACACTCCAAGCAAAGCTAAAGTAGTGCCCCTGCGCATGACCCCCCCGAAATTCCCTGAGTGGTTGTTGCATACCCAGGTAGTTCTTCTCGATCCAAATTCCAAGATATTGGCATGGAGCCGGCCCATCTGTTTTCTGAGGACATGCAGCTGATAACAAGGCATTTCCGGCCGCAGGATCCTGAGAATGGTTGCACGGACCAGTATGCTGAGCTGTGTATGGGGACCGTTGGGTTGGGTTACCCTTCTGAGATTACTGAAGATGCTGGTACGTATCAGCGCCAGAACGAATAGCCTAAAGCACGAATCCAGTGTCATGATCCATTTGTCCTAAGACATGATCTTCAAGCAGCCCTGTGCAAAGACGGACTTGAGTTTTCCTTGCTGAAGGACAAGGTGTGGTTAGCGTAGACCAGCGATTTTTGGGAAGGTCTGGTTCAGAGTCCGTTTGGCCTGAGCCCGTCATCGACATCAATGCTCTTGCTGATGCGCTTCGAGGAGAGTCGCGTGGCTGCTATTCACAAGGAAGCCCTGCAGGAAGACACTCATACCTCACAGATCCTAGACCCCACGTAGAGAAATCAAGAACATAACTCCTTCCTACATGGTCGCCATGTCCTCATTGCAAATCCTGTGATTCTCCGTGCCTTGAGAGTTGGTGATGAATGACACACGGCACTTCCCTAAGACTCCCTAGCTTGAGCCACTTCTTGTCACTGAGCTTCTAGTTTAGGACTTGAAGCTGAGGACCTCGCCGGGCAGGTCCCGGACAGTGCAGCAGCTGTACTCGCTGCTACAGAAGCAGGTTGGCCTCTTCTGTATACCGCGGCGGTATGGGCGCTAATGTGGGGAGCTATATGCGTCATCTATCTTCTCACTTTTTTTGTAGTGAATCATCTCAGAATGGTCGGAGGGCTGTCCTCCTTTCGTTTCGGAGCGTGAACAGTTCTGTTGGGTGCTCAGGGTGTATAGAGATTTGAAGTCTTTCGAATGCAGCTTCAAGGCTTTGTATCAATCAAACTTGGAGTTGTCCCAGTTTGCCTTGGGATTTGTGGCTTTCTCAAGATGACTGAAGGGATCCCAATTTGCCAAAGACCATGTCGCGCAGATGCAGCTCTGGATGTAGGTTTTGGATGGCAGAGACGGTGCATACGCGATTCTTTGGCATGCATCCCTCTCACAGTCAGCCCGAGCCTTTTCGTTCCATTCTGTTTGGAGGGCCATGTATGCTCAAGGAGAATTTATCATTGTTGCCATCGCTGTTGTACTATCATCTGTGCCAAGCTTGTTTTCGTGTTCTGGACTTTAACTGGTGCTTGTTACTACTCTCCTCCTTGATGTTGAAAAATATTTATGAAGAGGACTTGTCAAGCGGAGGCTGGCCTGAAGCCCACCGACAGCCTGTCTGTGGCCTGGGTGCGTGCGCGCGTTGAGCCGCCAGTCCTAAGCAGCGTTTCGCATGGGAGATGTTTGGATTGGACGTGCTGATAGGTCCAGGGTTCGTTGGCGAAGTGAGAACTTTTTCCAGAATGCCAGATGGTGTAAAGGCCCGCTGCCCCAAATAAAGTAAGGCCACCCCTTCACGCGTGCTTCAGCTGCAGCAGTACATCACTTGTACACCCAATGGTGAACCCGCTTGAGTGGAACTTCCAGCACTCCCAACTCCTTGCATCATCCCTATGAGCCCCCATGTTCGCCTCTCTACCAAGGTCCATGGAGGTGAGTGGCCAGCTGTTCCCCGCCGAGGACCTCATGGCCTCCCTGCAGCTGCCCCAGCCTTCGAAGGAAAATGTTGGTAATGCTATTCCAGGGTCAGAATGCAGTCTCTGTGCTCGCTGCTAGATTTTGCGTGTGCGGTAGTGATTGAGTGGGTGTGGATTCCAAATCCTGCGTCTAGCCTGGACTTAAGAAAAATGTCGAGGCTGGCTGGTGTAAGGGCTTGGACCTGGCGTCCGCGTTTTTGGAGGGTTATTGATTTCTGGTTGTTGTGTTCATTGATGTTCCACTTTCCCAATAAGCATGAAAAGCCTGCAATGTGCAACTCGCATTAATTAAGCTACCAACGAAAATCAGCCTCATAACGAGAAATGGAATCCATAACTTTCATTTACCAACAGCCCGCCATACTTGGTGCCCCGAGCCTTTTGAGCTCAGGCCGTTGGTCCGAAGCCACGCGGGCATCACCCGCCTGGGTTTCGTGCGCTGGCAAATGGATGCACTGGCGCTCCTGCTGATATGCTTCCTTAGGAAGGGCTTGGGATCCTGCACTGGCAGGGCTTCTTCAGACTTTCAGGAAGATGATAAAAGAGTGGTTTGGAATGGTTCGGATTGCATGGAGAGCAGCCGCCCAGAATTCATGCTTGCCTTCGCGACAGCTTCTTTGCCCTTCGGCGAGTTGCATAATTTACGGCATCATGCAAGATGTCTACTAGCAGGCGCGGTCATCACGCTTCACCATACTCAGGATAGTCCTGGTATGACTGTTGAATGCGCAGTGATCAATATCGCAACCCAACCTTTGGAATGTTGCAGGCGCTCAGTACATGTGGAAGCCGCTCATGCCAAAGAAACACGGCCTTCTCAGGCGCTGGTTCCCTCCCACGAGAGCTTGCTTGAGTTTCTGCATCAGCGACTCGGTCTAGCATTTTAGATGTGGACGGCGGTGAATTCAAGAGAGTAATTGATCGGTTGTTTGATGGGCTGCGGGCTATCCATGGAGTACTTACGCATTGCGTTTAAAGTTTAAATTCCCTCTGCATAGCTGGCCGCTGCAATGCTTGTCGTGCTTGGCCAGCTTCTGCTCAAGCACGCGTCCAGCCTAATGATTTTGAGAGGGCATTTAGGTGTCAGGCATTTGTGCTCGGACGCATCACTTCTGCTATACAAGGATGTGGGGCGATGTGGTCCTGAGCCTGGGGACGGAAGCTTCTTGGACATTGCAAAAGCGTGAGGAGTTCTAAGCAGTGTGCAGAAGCGGAACTATAACATCATCGTCATCATGTTGTGTGGGTCTTGCCTGTGGCTGTGCTTGCTGTGCTTGTCATGTTTGTGCATGGCATGGCCGGTGTCTAAGTCCAGTCCTGAGCAAAGGAAGAGAAGTTCAACTGGAGCCTGTCGCTGCCAAGGGGTGAGATGATCGGTTAGGCAGCACTTAGGTCCCTACAAGAAAGCAGGAGTTGCTTGTCATTCTCTATGAGTGCCAATAAATTTCCTGGGCCCAGCTGCACCCTGAACCAGAGCAATTTTGATGAACACTTATTGCTCGTAGAGATTACCCTTGCGTTGAACTAGCCGCTGTTGATGTTTTTTGCTGACTACCACTGTCAGGATGTCATGCATGGTTCTTTTACAAGCATGTGCGGCATCATGCACAGGCGTTTCTTGATTTGTGCCTGCTATGTTTATAGCAAGGGCTAGGAATTTGGGCACTTACAGGTAAACTTGTCTGAAAATTGTGCAAGGTAGGGGCAGCCTGAGTGATCTTGCATACTTGCCGGGGTTCTAAGACCAAGAAGATCCTGGAGGGTTCCGTTTCGTATCCGCACAAAAAGTCTTTGACCTGCTGCAAATCTTGCGGCAACACGCCTGCAAACACTGCAGGCGCGTAGGTCTCAGCATGCTGTGGTTGAAAAGATGAAGGACGTGCATCGTGGTCGTGGCTCATTTGGCAAGGTGCCTACCCATGAAAAGGCGGCAGATGGCACCAGCACGTCTCAGGTCAAGGGGGTAATCGAGCCATCGTCTGCCACTTTGCAAGTGTTACTGAAGGATGTTCTTGCCTCGGTTGAGGCCATGAAGCGTGTGCTACGTTTGATAGCCACGTTTCAGCTTCAGAGTGCAGCATCAGAATCAGACCTGGAGTCAGAATCAGAACTGTCCTGTGAAAGTATGCCGAGACATTGCCGAGACGTAGCTCACCCAACCTCGTGGCTGGCCTCTTGCTGTTGAGATGCATGTGTTGAATGTTTCCCGTGCAATTTCCAATGAGCTGGGCGTTCTTTGGGACTCTGTCTTCAGATCGTCCTGAGCAGGTATAATTGTGAGTTGAGGTAGTACTGGTACTGGGAACCTTGTAGCAGACGTGGCGGCTTGACTTGCTTTAGCCTTGCCTGGTGTGTCTTTGCTTTATTTTTGGGAGGAACCACAGGACTTGAAGTTGTGCAGAAGCAGCGGTAGAGTTTTGTGCCTTCTTCACGGGTCGGCGCTTCTCTGATGGTTTCAGGGCTCAAAGCGTCAGACGCCTTGGCCGCCGAAGCGGGCGTGCCCTTATCAGCAGCCCTATGAAAGAGGCATCCACATTCAGCTCCTGATAGGAGCCTAGTGCAGCCCCTACCAAGTCCAACATCTAAACCAGAACCCCAGCACAGCGTGTTCTGTCGACCCATGAAACTTGTTGCGCCCCGGCTCTATCCCAAACACCTTAGCAGCCCTAGCACATAGCCTGCATGCATCAAGAAACAGGTCATCTTTTCGGGCCAGGAGTTGGCCCGTGCACTTCATGCGCCATGGGCACATAGACCAATCCGGTTGAGAGCTTCACCTGCACATTCGGTTTTGCCAGTGTGGGATCCATTTCCGTGTAAAACCAAGAAGGCAGACAGGCTCGACTGCCACCTTGCCCACCACGGCGCCCCAGGCATGGAGAACCTCCTGGATGCGCTGACGAAGCTGAGCGTCAAGGCCAGGCGCAGGAGTTCAGGTCTGGTCTATGAAGCTAGCCCGTAGCTACCTTCAGCTGGAGACCTCATAAATGGAAAAGAGCAATTCATCAAGGGTCGCAAGGCCCAGGGCTCATGTTGAAGGCTTTGTCTGCAGAGCTTTCGAGGGTCTGATGTCTGTCTAGCATAGCGCAAGATGATAGGGAGGGACGTCTTAGATGCTGTTTTTGAAGCTGCTAGCCGCTAGCTGCTAGCTTTCAAATGATCTGTGTGGACGAGAGAAAGCTGCTTTCTTGCACACGCCTGAATGCATGGCAGGATCTTGCCGCCATAGGGGTCGTACTCCTTGCTCTTCTTCTCATCTTGGCTGCCTGCCTGCAAATGGCCTGTGACTTATGTGCTCCACTTACATTCGCTACAGTCCAGAGAACAGAAGGGGGGCAATGGCCACGCCGGCAAAATTGCAGGAATTGCAGCACTCCTTTGAAACACTTTGTCTGTACCCGAGAAGAAGATTGGAGCATTTCCTGAGGTTCCCCAGTAGCCCCTTAACAACAGGAGTACCCTTTTTTTCTAATGTTCAGTTTTAATAAGGAGGCACCAAAATAGAGAGGGGAAAAAGGGTACTACTGGGGTACCAAGTTGCTTCGAGTAGGTTTGGGGGTGTACGTTATACTGAAGCTGTACAGGGGACATGAAGGAATTCTCCTATAAGTGCTTGAAAACTGATCCAGTTTCCATTTCATGTCCTCCTTTCCATTTGATTCTCCACTACCGGGGTAAGAACTTCCTCGGGACTCTTCTGGATAGAGTTGGTGGGGTAGACTCACCTGCTGTCAGGCTGCAGCTGCCTAAAACCACGTATTCTTGGTCCCATGCAGGGCTGAAGATCTAAGGTTTGAGGCTATGCAGGGTTTCGGCTTCAGATTCTGGGGTGTGGAATTCCATCAGGGCTGCCTCACCTTGCCTTGGCCAGAGAGCGCGCTTTCGAGAAACCTCGGCTCTGGGTTTACCATCCATGCTTCATCTCTGCATGCTGATCCTAACGCAACGTCCGCATCCTGCTAGCTTGCAGCGGGTTTTTCAAGGTTTGCATCCCGTGCTTCCTGGTGTTTGTCACAGTTACCGGCCTTGGACCAAGACGCGCAAAGAGACGCTTGGCCTGCTCCATTGAAAGAAGAGCAAGTTGGGTTTTGGACTTCTAGTAACCCGGCCAAAGGTTTGGGATAAAGGAGAGGTGCCTGGCGTTGTACCCATAACCCAAGTGAGCTGTATTGAGCCAGGAAATGAGCTACGCAGTCTAACAGCCTAGGAGGTCTGCTTTCCGGCAGGGCCCACCACCTTTTGGCATATCTGTGCTGAAGTTTCACTGCAGCGATAACATGACGAGTGACACTTTAGGAATAGCAATGGAAAGCTACAACATGAACTTCGCATACGCCTCACATGTTGGTAGGAGTTGCAAAGTGAATCTTGTTCTGGGCCCAAGCGGACCTCGCAAGCTCGCAGTCTGCCTGCTGGTCCGTTTAGTCGCAGTCAGCAAGGTATCCCATACACAAATGTGGAGCATCTGACCAATGTTGAACAGGAAGCATGGGTTCAACAAAGCTCTTGAAGAGCAACTTGAAATCGAAGAGCCACACGTCTCCACCCTGTCTCGTACGTAGGAGCCTGGGAGTCACAATTTGCGCGACAAAAGCACCAACGGTCGCAGTAGTTTCAAGCTAAAGCCTGGAAACTGAAACCCTCCAATCTCAAGCTTTTGAAAGGCGTTTGTTCTCATGTCCTTCGCTCGGTCAAGAGACCGACGCGTTTCGACTTCACCAAGGCCGAGAGAGTAGAGCAGATGGTGTGCGTTGCATTGACAGCATGCAGGAACCCCAGGAAGATTTTACATGGAATGTTTGTTGTAGGGATACTGGAATTCCCAAGAAAGATGAGAAAGTTCAGTGTGCCCTCTTCGTATAAAAGGAAGCCGAGCGCCTGCGGACTCACTGTTAGACGAGTTTGTTGCTCACACAGATGAGCACATCACATGTCTGATTTTTATTGCCTGCGCTGGGAACCTTGGTGTGTATTCGTTGTAGACATGGCTTTCAGCCATCCAATTCTCCTACAATCCTTGCAGCACATAATCATTGCTGTAGTTGGCTATGCGGTCCTAGCAGAACAATGTTTTACTTGATCAGCTGGTATGTAGACTCGACCGAATAAAGTGCTGACTCGAGTGCCACAGCCTGCAGATCGTGCCGCGGCTGTTTCTTGGCAGATCCTTGGCAGCAACGGGAAGGTGACATCGACACATGGCTTAGGGCTACAGCTGACTAAAGCTCCTCAGGGATGAGGGAAATCCAAAGCTAAAGGCCCAGGCACTCCCACCCAAGACCCGATCTTCAAGGCCATGCGTCAGGTTAGCATGTCTTTTCATGGTGCGAGTATTGTTTTCTTTCTGCCGCTGTTGCTGTGGTACTATAGATTTCGTATAGATGCTTGATGGAGCTTTTCGGACATGCGATGGAGGCCCTTGTCCGGGGGAGTGCGGAGCGTAGCTACAGCTTTTTTGGACTTGATCGCCAGGCCTGCCGCGAACTTTAGAGGATCTGGAGCAGTTGAAAGCTGAAGGCGTGGGGGCTGTTGACCTTTGCCTGCAAAGAGCTATCAGCAGTGTGGAGACTGCAGCGTTTTGATTTTGGGTGGGTTTGGGGCTTATTTTGGACAAGTTCCGAATGATGCTGATGGGTGCGAGGGCTTGCAGATTGCATCAGTAATCGAGAATCAAACGGCAAATCATAACATGAAACATTAACATGAACTGGAAACTGGGGTTATACGTTTTATAGTCGTGCTTTATGTGAGCCGCCTGGTATCGCCTGGATGCAACTTCTTCCGGATTGGGAACGATCGACGCTGCTGCTCTGTCCCACTTGCAGTTAAAGCGTGCGTCGCGTTGTTCAGTGCTATGTGGCCACCGCGACCGAACAGTCTCCCAAATCTGAACAATCACCCCGTGGAGAGGAGGATATTTAGGACTCCCGAACAAGATGCAAGATACTTCCCATCAAGAAATGTCTTTTGATCGGGGGTCTGATTTTCCCCGATGTTAGGCCCTACAAAATGAACCCCTCTAGGTACATATCTTAAGCTTCTACAGTTTAACAGTACTTGCCCAGGTGACATTAAACGAGGTGTGGGAAATGGCATTGTCGACCCGATTCATCAGGCTTCCGGCCTTGCAGAGAAGTTAGCCAATGCGGCCTTGGATTGTGTTTTTCCGTTCTGGATCTGTTGGGCTTTTGTCATGTTGGTAACACACGGGCAGCACCTGGGGCATCTGCTTGGCCTTGTCGGCACGGCAGTACAACTGGTGATTGGAAGTCCAGCTTGTGTTGCTGAAGCTATGCATGCTGCAAATCAGTGAGGCGAGGCCAGCTGCACGAGAGCATGCTATTTCGGCATGGCCGTCGGCCCTCAAACCCCCGTAGATGC